TACAGGGGCGCCCCCCCTGTACAGGAGGGCGTTCCTAGGTGGTGGCAGCACGCCAAGCAGCGCGAGGGGCAGCAGACCGCAGAGCACGGACGCATCCTCGCGCCCCCGAGGCCGAAATCGACGGGCCCCAAGGCTGGCCCAATGCGGACCCCCATCGTGCACTTCGAGGTTGACACGGTGCTCGCGCGCTATCCCGGCGACTCTGCGTTCCCCTGCTTCCCGAAGCCTGCGCCACAGGGACCGCCAGCGATGCCGCCGCCAACGCTGAAGCCGAAGCCCAAGCATGGCCCCCGCCCGCCAGCCGCTCCACCGCCAGATCACCTCCGCAAAACTGGCCCAGTCCCGTCTAATGCGGACCTGATGGAAACGCTAAGGCAAGCGGCGGCAGCGCCCACGGCGCACGAGGCGGCGCAGGAGGTCGCGCGCGCGCTCCAGCAGCAACAGCAGCAGCAGCAGCAGCAGCCGCAAGTGATCGCGATGCCGTACACGCCTCCGTGGCATGCCTGGCTTCAGGCGTCGATGCCCCAAGCCACTCTGCAGCCGCTGCCGTTCCCCAAAATGCCGCTCGCAGCAGGGGCAGCGCCGCCGCCGCCGCCGCAGACAGCAGCAGGGCAGCGGCGGCCGCCGCCGCCCCAGGCAGCGCGCCACACAGCCGCGAAGGGGGGGGCAGGGCGCGCCTCCCCTCCAGAACCGCCGCACACGGCAGCCACCCCAGCAGCAGAGCCAGGCGCAGCCGAAGCCCCAGCAGCATGCGAGGTGACAGGCGCAGAGGGGGGCGACGGAGGCAGCAACCCAAGCGACTCTGAGAGTGAAGAAGAAGAGAATGCCGCGGTTCCGTCGCCGCTGACGCACGAGGAAGAATGTTTAACAGCATGCGCCGAAGCACCCGCAGCAGCGGCAACCGAAGCGAACCTGCTTGCAGTGAAGGGTGGGGCTGCAGACGGCTCTGATTCCGAATTCGAGATCATCTCCATGCAGGTGCCGAACATGCAGAAGATCCGCCAGGCCGTAAAAAGAGAGCAGCAGGGCGCCGCCAGCAGCAGCGCCAGCGGCATGGCAGCGCCAGCGGAGCCAAACACCGCCGAGGAGGAGCCCGCCGCCGCAGAGGCCGCGGCAGAGACGCAGTCGCCCGAGGCAGCAGCAGCAACGCAAACCGAGCTGCGGCGCCTGCGCGGAAAACAAGCCGACCACCTGCGAAAAGGGCACCGCGGCGCGCGAACAGGACCCCCCCCCAGCCAGGAGGCGGCTCCGCCGCGGCCGACGGTGGAAGCGGCGCCGCCGCAGCAGACGGCCCCCGGCCAGGAGGCAGCTCCGCCGCAGCCGACGACCCCCGTCGAGCTGCTGCCTCCGCCGACGCCCGAGGTTTTGAAAGACCCTGAGAATCGGTCAAGAGAGCAAGGGAACAAGCTCAGGCAGCTTAAGTAGCGTGCGACGCCACCGCAGGACAACAGCCTGCTGCTGAGCTAGATGGCCCAGACCCTGCCGCTCAGCCCACCTCCGCAGCTGACAAAGAGATTCCAGGTTCCACCGCTGAGCAGGAGGACCAGAGCAAGAAGCGCTGGCCCGACATGCAGAGCGTCGGCGACGGCCCCCCCGAAAAGAAACAGAAGGACGACAGGGGCAAGGGCGGCGGCGGCAAGCCAGACGGCGGCAAGGGGCAGGCCGCTCAGAGAGAGGCAGTCTCTTCGTCGCAGCGCGCCCCGCGACGCGCTGGTGGCCGCGCGCCGCGCGCGCGAGGAAGAGAGAAAGAGAGGAGAAGAAACCAAGACAAAACAAATCGCCATAATCATAAGCATCATCACGTCAGCCTCCTACACGGGAGGCGCCGCTTCCAGGGGGGGAAGGGATCGGCAGAATGGTGGAGGCGAAGTCAGACGGAGGAGAGGCGACGTGCAGGCATCGGTGCCGCATGCGTGGCCATGTTGGTTCCGCCGAGGAGAGCAACGCCGCCTGTCAGAGGTCGCGTCGGACCGATTTCACCACCGATCCGAGGAGGGTGAAGCAGCTGTCAGAGGTCGCGTCGGACCGATCCCACCACCGACCCACCTCCGCGCGGAATTCTTCAGACAAAATTCTTTCGAATGAATTATTTCGTAGATGTTCTAGCTTTGCTTCCGAAGGAAGGTTTTCGAACTAATAATCCTTTCACAAGAATTCTTTCGAAAGAACGTTGTTGAAAGAGGTTTTCTGTGAGCCCCCATTCAGGGCCTAATCAACTCCTGCGTGGATCTCTGCGGGCAGGCTCTCGCAACGCATTCGAGTTCTGAGCGAAGGTTGTGTGGTTCTTCTCATGCGTATAATGAATGTAATACGTGTTCATAAATGTCATATGCGTCCATGCGTTACCTTGCGCGCGCCGTGCATGCGCCTGCACGCGCGCACCGCGCCCAGCCACATAGCGCGCTGCACGCGCACTGCGTGCGCCTGCGCGCATGCACCACTTGCGTGGGCGGCGGTGGCGGCAGCGGCAGGTGAGTTGGCAAGCAAGGCAATGTCGCGCGCGCGCGCCTATCATGCGCCCAAACGCCGCCCCCGTCAAATATCCTCAACACTTGCAGTCGGCGGGCCGTCCCACCGCTAAGCGGGCGGTGCTGGTGCCGTTCGGCCCTCTGCGTAGAACGCGTAGTTTCGCCGGGCGGAGCAGATGTGACTTGTGCGCAGGTCTTCGCTGCCGTGCTACGCTCGCAGAGTCTTTCCGTGCCGCCGTAAACCCAGACGGTGAGGTCACCGCAGACATGCCCTTTGAAAAAGTAACAACACCCAGCTGCGACTTCTTCTGCCGCCCTGCACAGGAGGGCGACGGAGGAGGAAGAGGAGGAGGGGGATGAGGAGGAAGAGGAGGTGGGATATTGTGTCCGGAAGGAGGGCCGCGGGCCTCCTGGCGGTGCGCTTCTGCTCTGCGCGTCACAGGACTGATAGGACATCTGGAGTTCTTTCGGCTCCAGATCTGCCGCTTGCTCCAGCGTCCTCGGCGCCCGCCCGCAGTGGGTTCTGTTTCCGCGATGGCATCGCAGTTCTTCGTTCTCTTGGCGCGCGCGCCGCATTGCCTGCCAGCGTCTGCGATCGGGGCCGCCCTGGCCGCGCGCGTGCCACTTAAGAAAGCCAAGGCCAAGGCCAAGCCCAAGCAGACCGCCCTCGATCACGGCGCGTTGAATCGCACGCTCACTTCCCTGAGGTGCCATGCCAGCGCCGCCGCCAAGGGCGAGGAGAAGAAAAAGGCAGCCTAGGCAGCCCAGGCGAAGTGGAACTCTCTTGTTAACGTCGAGGACAAGAGGCGCTTCTTGAAGATGTGGGAGGAAAACGGCCGCGGTAAAACCTCGTCGGGATTGCAGCTCGCTGGGCGCTTCGAGCAGTCGTGCGTTCGTCAGCAAGGGGGTGAGTTTTCAAGCAGGGGCAAGTATCTCATCCCCGCGCAGGTCCTCAAGGAGAAGGGCTACTCTTTCATGGATTTCGACGCCCGCAGGGATGCCATAGAGTTCGCAGTCACTTTGCACGAAGAGAGCGCGAAAGAGTTCGACGCCAAGGGGGCGAATCTCCCGTGCACTCATGACGCGAATGAGGGATTGAGCAGCTACTTCTTCGCGGCGGACGAGGGGCATCGGAAGTCCCGGAAGCAGACCCAGTCCAATGAGATTTCTGGCGGCACGGATGTGAAGAGCGGGGCGCAGCTCCTGAGCGTGCGCGACAGCATGGGCGCCCCGTTGGCAGCGCCGGCGTCGTCATCCGACTCGAACGTGCAGATCAAGGACGAGGGCCCCGCGATCCCCGAGGTAAAGGGGGCGGCGAAACTTCTACAGACCGAAAAGTAAACTTTACCTTCGCTCCTCTCTCTTCCCGTTCCGCCGCCCCCTGCTCCAAAGCTCGCCGGCGCCGGGCTGGAGCGGGGCGGGGGGTGGGTGCGTGGGTGTGTGGGGGGGGGGGGGAGCTCGGAGCTTTGGTTATCTGCCTCCCAGGACTGACTTGGATGGGCCGCAGCAGATCCAGACGACTCTGCGCCAGTGCAAGAGCCAGCTCGCTGCGAAGAGCAGGGCTTGCAAGGGGGATAATAAGAGGAAGCTTTGGCCGGACTACTCGGCGGAGCTCGAGAGCAGCGCCAATGTCCTGGGTAATTTCGTGGGCGGTTGCTACTGCCACATCGCGGTGGCCGAGGGCGCGCGTTCCATGGGCACGAAGGATTTGCCCGCCCTCAAGAAGAAGCTCGCTGGCGCGAAGGAAATGCTCGAGCACCACCTGACAGGGCCGAAGGCTTGCAGGCGCAAGTATTCCGAGCTGCTCGAGCACGCGCGAGGCTCTGGCAGGCGCGCGCGAGCACGTTCGGCGGTGAGGGGCGGGGGGCGAGGACGACGGGATGGGCAGCTAGGAGGGGCAGGATGACCATGAGATGAACAGGTAGACGAGAATTGCATGCAAGCATGAGGGCTGGACGGCCAGGAGGGACAGCGAGTCTGAAGGGCATGCGTTCGCAGAGTGCGCTGCCGCAGCCGTGCGTATACCCTGGCGGTTCGCCGCCACTTCGCCCCGGAAAAAATGAGCGCGTCGACGACGTCGCGCCCCCTCCTGTGCAGGAGGGCGCATGCGAGCATCAATTATTCATCTTCTTTGTCTCCCGTATCAGCTTTGCGGCCCATCAGGCATTCCGTTAGTTTTTTTCTCCCGAGGGCCGCTATGCTCGGCAAGCGCAAGCGCAATTGCGGCACTGCGGCTCTTCCTCCTGGCAGGAGGTTGAGGGCAAACGTGGGCGCGCTACTGGCGACCAACGCGCTCGCCTACAACCAGGCCCAGTCGCTCTTCGACGACGCCCGCGCGGGGGGGCACGCAGGGGTGCTCTCCTTGACCAGCCACCGAGGAGGTGATGAGAAACGCAAATGGGCAAACGTCGGTGGCAATGTATCTAGGGGGGCTGTGGAGACGAATGCTTCGAGGGAGCTTGTGGCCCAGGCCGTGCGTCGCGCAGGTCCGCTGTTGGAACAAGAGGCGCAGCCGCGAGCAGAAGGAGTGGGTCGCTTTCGGCTTGCCACGCGAATATTTTGCCCAGTTGGTGAAATACGCTTCGTTGGGGAAGCTGGGGGGCTTAAGCGGCCAGGGCAAAGTGGGGGCAGATCACGTGCGACGCTGCCTCATGGTAATGCAAGCTGATTCGATAATTCCTGCAGGGTTGTGGGCCGACGGAGCCCCCTGCCAGTGGGGCCGCGATCAGTCAGTAGAACTCGCGTGATTAAGTTTGCCTGGGCCGCCGAAAACGATGGAGGAGCACAAGCTGCGCGTGCCCATCGCTGGCTTGATGAAGGCCTTCATGAGCACGAACGCGTGGCGTGACAGTTTCGATGTGATTGCTTGGAGTTTCGGCCCATGGCTACAGGTGCATACCCTGCCGCCCGCCACGACGGCGCAGCTTGGTTAAAGTCTGACTTTCACAGGGCCAAGAAGGCATCTGCAGATCTGGGGTACAGGTCTGCGCTGGTGCAAATGCGCGCAGGTTGGGGATGTTGGAAACATGTACTCGGGTTCCCGCAGTTCAACGAGAAGGCGGGGTGCTTCTGGAGGTGCCACGTGACGCCGCAGCAGGCCCCTCCCCCCGCACTCTCCCTCGCCTGCCTCCTCGTGCTCCTCTTCGTCCTACGCGCCGCGCTCTCCTCGTTTCTCGCTCGCGCTGGTCTTCCAGCCAGGGCGCATCTGCAGCGCGGCGCCGTGGCGCAGCGTCAGGCGCACGAAGGCGCAATTGATCCAGCACCTAGTGGAACATGGTGCCACAATATCGCCAATGATGTCAACCCCTTGGGTTGACCAGTCCGTCTGGGGAATCGATTGGTTACGCGCAGTTGATTTGGGCGCTGCAGCAGAATGGCAGGGGCAAATGTTTTTTCATATTGATTCAACTTAAGAAATTTAGTGGCCCCGCGAACGACGCACAGTGCCAACAGTTGTGGGATCGCCTGATTATTTGGCACGAGCAGAACCCAGATATGGATCGCATCCATTCCTTGGCCATGCAAACTGTCAAGCACAAGCAGGTAATGCGGTTTTCAGGGCAGGCTACCGTTATCAGGCACATGCTACCCTTTGGGAAAGCACTCGCCGACGAGCTCTGCGACCCGAATGTCGCGGAGGAGGCCGCGATGAGAAATGCGATGTTTCATTTGTCTCAGTGTTGATTTTTGCTTGAGAAGTGGTAGCCTGAAGGGAGACATTCTGAATGAGCAGTCGATCAAGTTCAGCCTGCAGCACACTGCTCTGCGCGGCATGTGCCCGAAGTGTTTCACATCAGACCGAAGCTTCATCAATTGCTCGAGATTGGCTTGGAATCATGGCGGGGCCATCGACCCGAGAGATGCTGGACTTACAGGGATGAGGACTTCGGATGCACGGGCGCTCACTTCGCCAAGCGTCGTGGCAGCGCACTCGCGCCCAAGGGCTTCGGCGTCGCATTGATGAGCGGATTTTTTTCGCAGCCTTTCGCTAGGAGATGTTGATGGCTCCTCGGCCAAATCCAAAACAGATGTCGCCTTCCCCTCCCCCTCCCGCGCAGGGGGGGCCCTCCTGTGCAGGAGAGGCTACGCCGACTCGTTTCGGGGCTCTCCTTCCCCGCTCTCCCCGCCCCATCATCCGCCTTTTAATTTCCAATCGTATTCCTCGTGCTCATCTTCGCCGCCGCAGCCGCTTTTGGCTCCTAAGTTTTCAGCGAGCTGCCCGGCCCGAATGCAGGAATTCACCACGACAGTTGCCATGGCAGCCTGGGGCGCTCGATGCTCGACGCGCGGCGCCCTCGCTGCGGCCGACGCGCAGTCTTGGCGCTACGCGCAGGAGTTGGGCGGTTCTTGGTGGCATCGCTGCAGCCGGCAATGCGCCCGCAATTGCCGCTTTGGCCTCCACGAGAAGGTTCTGGAGCACAACTAAGTGCCCAGGGTCGAGAAGCTGGTCAACGAGCGGCTGGCGATCTTGGCGGATATGCAAGCGGCCCAGAACGGCGGGAGGGACTTGCAGGCGAACCAGCGGCGACGCCTTCAATGAGTGAAGCGCGCGCCGCCCCTGCGCCCAGAATCGGAGGCCGCGCTTGCCCTTTTGCGCTCGCTGGGCAAACGAACGACGTCTCCTGTCGAGGGGGCGCCGCGGGGAGGTGGATGGGGGGGTGGGGGGAAGGGTGAGGGGGGGGGGGAATAACATAACATGATCGGGCCAACATGAAACCAACATAGAATCAACATAGAACAACAGGAAATCAACGTAGAATCAAAATAGAAAAGCATTAAAGCCTTTCGTTTTAATTAAGGCAAACACTTAATTAAGGAGAGCAGCCCTGCTTATCTCAATTAGCGCAATCACTTAATTAAAGCAGATACGACCCTCAAGGCAGCGCGGCCGGCCCAGATTCGCAAAGCTCGCCGGCGCCGCCTGGCCCGGGGGGGGGGTTTTATGAGTGGCTTTAAAGCTACCTTAAAGCTACTATGGAGCTACTTCGTAGCTATATTTTAATGCAGCTATCTCCCGGGGCGCCCGCGGGGCCGCCGAAGCGGGGGCGAACCAGGAGCTACCTACTTCCCGGAGCTTAGCGAGCTCTACTTGGAAGCTTGGTTTCAATGCTACATGAAAGGTATAAAAACGTAGCTGGAAACACTTAGAGAAAGCTAGACGCAGATATCTCGATGGCTTATTTAAAAGCTATATCGGAATTTCTTCTCGGCTCGCTTTGGCGCCCCCCGGGCCCGCCGGCGGGTCGCCGGGGCCCCCCTGGCCGGGCCCGTTGGCGGCTGGCCGGAGGGGGGGCTTCCGGCGGCCGCGGGGCCCAGGGCCGGCGCGGCCGGTTTGAATATGTAAAACGCGCCGGCGCGGCGTCGGCCCGACTGGCGAAGCGCGCCGGCGCGGCTGGGCCCAGATGGCGTGGCCCGCCGGCGCGGCCAGGCCGATGATGAAACGCTCCGGCGCGGCCGGGCCCGAACGCGCGACGCGCGCCGGCGCGGCCGGGCCCGGCGCGAGCGACGGGCGCGGGGGGGGGGGAGAAGAGGAGGAGGAGGACGAGGAGGACGGGGGAAGGGGAGGAGGAGGAGGGAAGGGGGCGAGCAGCGAGGAGGAGGGAGGACGGGGGGGGCGGCGGAGGAAGACAACGACGGCGAAGGGGATGGGGCGGGAGAGGCGGGCGAGGGGTTCGCGCCAGGAGAAGGCGCCGCCGCGGCACGGCGAGATGGGCGCGCGACGGGTAGAGGGGGCGGGCGAAAGAGGAGGAGGAGGAGGTGGAGGAGGAGGGGCCGAGACGAGGAAGGGGGAGGCTCGTGAAGGGGCTGAGGAGGGAAACGTGGAAGAGGCATTCGGGTGCGTCGCGTGCAAAACCGCGCCGCGATCATCGCCGTGGCGTCGCGCGCAGAGCCCGCGCGGCGTTCCCTGTTGATTTGCTGGCGCGCGGGGCCGTGGTTTGATTCGGCGCGTCGCCGCCGCGGGTTTGACGTTGCCCATCCCGCGTGCGCGTCCCCGTCGCTTCGGCAGCTAAGCAGAAGCTATGTTCAGCTATCTCGGAAAGCCATATGTTCAATTTTTGTACTGCGTATTGCTATCTTGGCCCCCAGCTGTCTAAGGCCATCCAGTGTCGCAATCTTGCTGATTATCGTCGTCGTGCTCCTCCTCATCACGCGGTTAGTTAGCAAATCGTTTTCGTGATGTTATCGCCCCAGCAATCAAGTCATCGTTTTCACTGCACATGAGTTAATTACCCCCCCCCCGCACTGTATCATCCACCTTGCCTCTCCCATCTTGCCCCCATCATTACGCCGCCACCCTGGGCCCTCTTTCCGTCCTCCGCCCCTTTGTGATCTTATTGTTAGTTTCCGCGATGCGCTTCATCATAATGCGCATTCTAAGTGTCGCCATGTTATTCGTCATCGCGTTCATCATTCTTTTTTATCCGCAACATCACGTTTCTGTATTTCCCCCCTGCATTGTCGCTATCGACAACGACAATCACTTCATCGCCATGCCTTCCCATATTGTTCGTCCTCCCGCCTTGAGGGGGGTAGTTAACTGCAGCATCGTTCGTTGAGTCATGTACTATTGGTCGCCTGCCAGTTGTGTTGCTGGCGCTCACTCGGCGCTGGCAGTTTGCTGGTAGTACCGCCGCTACCTCCTCGATCTTCCGCTCCTCCCAATCCCCCCCTCCCTGCTCAGTATCCGCTGTTGCTGCTGCTGCTGTTGCTGCTCCTCCTCCCCCAGTCTCCTCGTGCTGCTGCGTAGGAGCGAAGCGAGGAAGAGCAGGAGGATGACGAGGATGAGGAGGGGCATGACGCGGAGGAGGAAGAGGAGGAGGAGGAGGAGG